CGCCTAGCAGACGACGTAGAATACCAAGGAATATTTTTCGGTATGGATTTTGCTATACGAATTTTTAGGATCAACTGAAACTGTGGGTATTTCTTGACTGGTATTTGACCACATATTCATCTAAGCAAAGGATGTTAATTGTGAAGAAACATGAAAGCATGATTCCTGGGCCGGATTTACTAAACTCTCGTAAACGCTCTCTCTCGTAACAGTTACGAGAAGTATCGCGATTTCTCAATTAGCGACGTTACGAGCCATTTTCGAACGTCAAGCAACGAGAGCGTAGGGGCCTCGTAACCGTTATGGACGTATTTACTATAGCTAGGTATCGTAGAGCTTTATTTCCTAAAAGAACGAGCATTAACCGCTGAACTGAGCCAGCACTAATGAGGTTTACCAATAACAGTTTCTCTATGAAAAATTGACATAAAATGCGAATAAACGGTATTTCTAAAACGTTCAGTTCAATCATGCAAATAAAGGAAAGTCACGAGACTTTAATGCCAATAATTTATTTTTATTTTTTTTCTGATATCAATATAGATATATAGCTATATCTATCTATGTAATAAAATCATAATACATATAGATAGATATAAATAAGTACACACACACACACACACACACACACACACACATATATGTATATATATATATATATATATATATATATATATATATATATTTATATTAAACACATACAGCTGTGTCTCTAGTTCATTCTCAGTGTCTTACTCAGTACTTTTATCACATTTATATATATATATATATATATATATATATATATATATATATATATATATATATATTATATATATATATATATATATATATATATATATATATATATATATATATATATATATATAGAGAGAGAGAGAGAGAGAGAGAGAGAGAGAGAGAGAGAGAGAGAGAGAGAGAGAGAAGAGAGAGAGAGAGAGAGAGAGAGAGAGAGAGAGAGAGAGTAGGATACACTATAACAATTTTTTTTCTGTTACTATGTCTTCTAAATGTGTTGCTCCTAAACATTAATTGATTAATGAAGTCACAGCTGCACACTCTTGAAGGTATTTATGAGGCTGATACGAGCGGAGGAGGGTCGCCATGATGAGCGTTACGAGTGGTTTCGGGCACTCGCTAATGTCTCTCGTGCGGAGACGAGTTTACGACCTCGGAAGTGTTTTGACAATACGCTCGTTGCGAGAAATGAGAGAGTAGCTTGATTTATGAAGTAAACAAACCTCAGACGATTTCGTAGAGGCGCTATTAAATTCGGCCTCTCACTTGTAAGCTTAGCTGTCAGCCTATTAATGGAAAATAAAACACATTTACTAGCCATAGTGTATGTGTTTACTATGGGTCAATTTTACATTTAAGCGTCACCGTCGCGCTGCAGACAATTCCGTTTGAGATAAGGATAAGTCCGATATGCGAAGCTGAGCCTCGCCCGGGCTATGGGGGAGCCCGGCCTGTGCCGACTAATGTCGACTCGCTAACAGTGTGTCAGCAGGTGCTGACTCGGCAGAGCTTAGTCCTTGCCCACCGTGGTGCCCAGCCACAGCAGTAACCTCCAGGCGACAATTGCAACTTCTCGCGCCTGGGCGGGGCGCGAACCGCCGACCCCTCGGATGAGAGGCCGACACGTTACCACTGTACTAGCCTGGAGGCTCCGTTTGAGATTATCCTTTGTAGAGCACAACAGTATTCCGTATTTTCCAACGGAACGAAAAGTAGTTTTCTACAATGTAACAAGAATTAATTGCGATATTCATGGATGGTTCAATATCCGAAAACGGTGTAGGTGATGCATCCCTCAACTATGTTTGTGTTCATAAGGAGACACGTACATATGAAATACACTTATAAGACGAGTATCTCCTAATACTTACCTTGAGCCTGAGATACCCTACAGGAGGCTAGGCGAAAGGAGTAGTAGGAGTGGAATTCCCTGACCTCGGGTGCGCCGTCCCACACTGTCAGAGCGGCCATCATAACAACAGCGAATGCCACGACCACACAGTGCATTTTCGTAATTAAAGTTAAAAGCAATTAATTTCTGGATTTCATTTTTTCTTGATTTTTTTTTACCCATTCGCGACGGGTAAAAATGAACCAAAAATAGGGAAAATGCTGTGCTCATTTTTTATACTTTTTGTGAAATGTCTTTACACATAGAATTTCATTTGGCGGGAAAAAATATTTTTTACTAGTGCTATGAATACCGATGTTTATTTTTATTATAAACATTATAATTACTATAATGTTATAAACATAGAAATCAAGACACCAATAACAAAACACACCCATTGCCCCTGGGGGGTGGGGGGTAAGCCAGAGCCTGGGGGGGGGGGGCAAACAGAGTCTGGAGGTGGGGGAGGGGGACTGACAGGGTCTGTAGGCTGTAAAGATAAGAATAAATAGTGGAACATGTCAGTGACTTTATTTGTCTGATTGCCTTGAGTGTGTTCCTCACAGACAGGCAAGAAGCAACTCTCAGAGAAAGACGTTATCTGCATGACACTTATGCTAACGATGAATGCAATTCTGAAGGTTTAGTGCAAAATTCTGTTTATCGTCGTTTGCCGCTATCATTACTATTATTATTAAGTCTAATAGTACTATTAGCAGATATTACCTCATAATTTTGTTTCATACATATCATAATCTTTCCCATATCATGAAAACTACTTTCATTACAGTGAATATTTTTACTGTCATTTCATTAACCACTTCCAGAGGCGTACCCATTTCAAGGAGCAAGGAACATCCTAAAAATCCTTGAATTTCTAACACCAGTTATCTCTTCCTAAGATCCTGATTGCTAAATGAATATGAAAGCGAATGCCATTACTACACAATATTCATACCACAATGCATATTTAGTTACGAGATTCTTAATAATACTTACCAACAAAAGCGTGAAAATTGTGCAAGGCATCCGGAGATAAAAAAAAAGAAAAAGATGAA